GTTACTGGTGTGTATTTTCTCCCAGCAAAAACAAAGTGACTATGTTAGTACCAGAGAGTCACAGTAATACCTTGTACCTGCAAACTATGTCTTAAGGTGCTTACCATGAACATCAGTACACTCCATCACCTTGTGGGGAGCCAGGATTGTGATGTCATTTATATTAAATGATGGAGAAACAGCCACTGAACATCTAGCATGTGGCTATTGTGCTGCATGTGTTAATGTATTATCTCAGCTGGTGCACAGCATAACATTGCATCAGTTCCATTTTGCTGGTTAGGAAGCCATGATTCTTCTTATGAATGACTTCCTATGACTCTGGAGGTAGTAAATAGTGGAGCAAACTACAAAAATCCTCATGTTTTCCAAACCACAACTGCTAGAAAGACAGATTTACTCAAGATGCATGTGTAGAAATTCATCATTTCAAGAACTATATCAACTAAATCATACTGGTTATCAGGACAAAGTGAGAAAATAGAGTTACTACCACTCTATAGTCAGACGCCAATTAGAAATAAAAGGGTAAGAAAATTTTATACAGGAATTTAAACCTTAGAGATACTATTCAATCTAAAAAATACTAAATTAGAACAAAGAAAACTTCATCAGAAAGGAAAATTTTAGAACACCACTAACATCATCTTTCAGGTTGTATCTACCAAGGCTAAGACATTTGATAATTACCTGGTTTACTTTTAAAAGCTTGATTAATTAGGTAAATATATTATAACTTATTTTTCTGAGAAAACTATTCTTTCCTCACTGTAAAGATAGTGCTCTGAAGGCAGCTATCAATTGTGGTAACCCCTGGCTGCAGGACTGAGTTTGTGAACTGCTGAGCTGTCTGTGGTACTCTAGCCTCCCACTGGCCACTGTGGCAAATCCCCAAATGGTGACAACTCATTGGGAGTTGACCCCTGAGATTTTTCTAGGTTAGTTAATCATGGGTTCTGAGAATACAAGCCATAGCTGTGGCTGATGGCCATGAGTCCACTGCCAAAGGAATAGCCTGGCTTGAAAAATAAGCAAACCCACAGAGGAGAGTGGGGAAGGTAGGGGACAGAGGAGAGAGAGAAGGAGAGGGACAATGAGGGGGGAGAAAGAGAGAGAGAGAGGCAGAGACAGACAGGCAGAGAGATGGAGAGGAGGGGGAGAAGGGCGAGAGAACGAAGGAGTAGAAAAGAGGAGGAGGTATAGAGAGGACATTTAAAAAAACAGACTCAATCTGGATATGAGGATATCCACATATCACCATGTATTAAACTAAAATCAAAATGAATCAAAGATCTAAATGTTAAAACAGAAACATTTAATCTGCTGGAAGACAAAATAGGTACAACTCTTGAAGACACAGGTATAGGCAAGGACTTTTTTAACAGAGCCCCAGTGGCACAATACATAACACCAAGAATCAACAAATGGGATCGTATCAAGTGAAATAGCTTCTGCATAGCAAAGGAAACCACCAACAGAGTGAAGTGACAGCCTACAGAATGGAAATTTTCCAGCTATTTCTTGGACAGAAAAATAATATCTAGAACATATAAAGAGCTCAAAAAGTTATATTCCCCAAAATAAAAGATCCAATCAAACAATAAATAGCCAAAATGAATGCTGGCTATTAGAGAAATGCAGATTAAAACTATACTGAGATACCAACATATGCCAGAAAGAATGGCTATCATCAAAAAATCTAATAAAAACAAATGCTGGCAAGGATGTTGGCTAAAGAAACTTTTCTACATTGTTGATGGAAAGGTAAATTAGTATAATCGCTATGGAAATCAGTGTAGAGATTCCTAAAAAAATTAAAAATAGAAACTCCATTTGACCCAACTATCTCTCTTCTAGGTATCTTCCCAAAAGAGTTAATATCAGCATATTACAAGGATATATGTATACCCATGTTTATAGCAGCATGATTTATAATAGCTAGATCTTGGAAACAGCATATATGTCCACCAGCAGATGACTGAATAAGGAAAATGTGGTATTTATACACAATGGAGTACTGCTCTGCTACAAGGAAAGATAAACATGATGCATTTGTATGTAAATGGATGCAACTTGAGAACATAATGTTAAGTGAAATAAGTGAGACACTCATGATTAAATGATTAAATGCTACCTCTTATAAGAGAATATAAAGAGCAAAATAGAAGATAAATAAGAAGTAGGCAGAAGTTCAAATAACTCCCCAAATTACCTGTCCTGTTTTCAAAAATATTTTAATACATATGCTAATTTCTACTCACACCAGTGGTAACTGGACAGGAAACTCTACACTCTGAACTTATCACATCCTCATTTCCCATGGATGTCCTGGGGCCTTCAGTGTGTCCTTCCAGTACCCTTCTGGCTGCTACAGAATACATGGTACCAAGACCAGGTCCACGAGGTTGTGCATTTGGGCAGCCACCCAAGGTGCAGCTCTTAGAAAAGCTCTCGGCTTGATTTAATACTTTGCTGTTCTGAAATTGTTAATTTTTGAAGAAGGGACCCCATTTGGGGGGGGGGGGTTGGTACCAGGGATCAAACTCAGGGCCTTGCACTTGCAAGGCAGGTGGCAGAACCACTGAGCTAAATCTCTGGCCCAAGGACCCCATATTTTTTGTTTTACACTCTTCCCCAGAACCTATGTAGTTGGTCTTGCACTAAGGAAAAGAAATTGCCCCACAAACCCTTCACACCAACAATCTTGCTTTTCAAAGCAGTCTGACTATTATTTACCAAGAGGCACAATAGATGTTGGAAGGCAAAGGACAGAGGAGCAGTTACACGTGACACATGTTTCTCTTTAGTATTTTATTAAAAGCAAATGATTTAGTAAAATTAGAAGTCTGCAGTGAAGAGCACTCACATATTCTGCCAATTCACAATACTGCCAGAACGAAAGGTCGCCAAGCACGAGGCCAAAAGCCATAGCATATATCTAAGACATGACAAGTACAGGATAAAGCATCAAGGAGGGATCTGGCTGATGTTAGGAAATAGTTAGAAAGTGAAGAAAAGCTCATTCGGGGGATGTCAGATGCATACAATACCATCAAAGAGGATTGCTGTTGGTACCGTTTCCTAGACACACAACTCTCTCCCATGAAGCACATGTTGGACAGAGACTATGCACGCACTTAGGCAGCTGTACATTCAAATCAGTCTCAGTGTTTTCTCCCAGAGGCATCTTATAGTTTTTATGCTCTGTATGGTAACAGAGGAGAGCAACAATGAGAGTCCTTGGGGTCCTTATGTCCTTGCTGCATTTACCCTGTGCTGTGACGTACTCACTTACCTAATGTGTATCCAGACAGCTGTTCTTGGGCTTATTCCTATCTTGTTGATGCCAAAACCTCACTGTTTCCTTTCTCTTTTAGGTCTCCAATCCCAGGTATGATGCAAATAATTGTGCAATATGAAATACTACTCTTTCCATTATGAACTTTAGTGCAAATGGTTTCAGGTCCTTTTCCAGGGAAACAAGTTTAGGTTGGGCCCAATGTTCTATGGTTACAAAGCTCCTTCTTTAAAAATTAAAAAAAGATTCTTCTTTACAATTTTCTAACCTGAGTCCTTTTTGGTAAAATCACTTAACATATGGATGAGTCTGAGGGAAAGGGATAATGATTGCTTATTTTTAAGCAATTATCTCTCCTACCTATAGTGATGATGGTTGAGTAAAATCTCAAATTTTATGTTATCCCCTAGCGATGTCTTTTGAGGCAGAAGCAATCCATCATGTTTAGGGTGATATTTAGAGTGATTTCTTTCTATTCAAACTGCTCTTTTGTCCTATTTGCTATACACTGAGGTATAGTTTCTTCTATGACAAATCTATAGAATCTAAGAAATTATAGTCATTCACTGCATAACACTTCGGTCAACAATGGACTGCATATATGACAGTGGACCCATAAGATTATGTTATCACTGGTGTGTAGCTGTCTTATGAAACATACTCTGTCATGTACACACAACCATGAAATCACCTAGCAATGTACTTCTCAGAATGCATCCTCATGATTAAGAGAGGTATGGCTGTAATGACAACAGTGAGCAAAAGTCTGGCCATTGTCTACTCGGTGAATGCTAGCAATTAATTTAATCTAATTTAAGAAGATATCAAAATCTAGGTAAACATAGTTTTGTAGGTAAGCAAACTAAAACAAAAGACAATAAACAGAAAACTGGAATTTTGTAGCAGTGATGAGCCAAGTCCCTCAAGGTTTAAATTTTCTAAAGATCTAAAGCAAAGTCACTGCTAGCAAAGAAATTTTAGGAAGTGCAGCAATGGGTTTAGTATTAGGGTTTGCTTTAAAGCCTGGATTATGTTTCCTTTTTATTTTCCTACTACAGTCTGGTATTTGGGGAGACTGCCCTGGAGGGATAGCTTTCTTCATGACTTAATATTTATTTTGGTGGAATTTTATAATCAGAGACATTATTCCACATATTTAAGGGAAGAAATTTCCCCTTCGTTCTGCAAACATTATTGTAAAAAAGTGATTCCACAAGAATATTAAGATATTTGAAAAATATTCTCTGTGTTTCTTGGAGATGTCTGGTTGAAATTTTGACAGGAATGGTAACTATATCACATGGATTGAGTGAAAACAAACAAAAAACTATTCCTCTTACCTTTGTAGTCTTTGCTGTCCATCTTTAGAGGTAGACGGGTTTAGTATCCCAGCAAGATGGATCAACATTTCTTATACGGCTCATATTTGTGTGGTTTCTTCATGACAGAAGTTGTTTTATCAGACAGTAGTCTTGGAAAACCACCCCACTCCTAGCTATTCTCTGTAGCATCACAGACATGAACTGACCCTTCTTATTCAAACTCTAAATTCTGCCAAATGTGAGCACCTTCTTTGAGTTGCTATCCCAGGGTGAGGGCCATCTAATTTTTCGTTCAGGCTATAAACATTGGCAGCCCCAGTAGAGTCACACCTAATAAAACACCCATTTGTAAATGCCATTGTGCAAATGAAAATACCTACCTCTCTTGTAGAATAAGTTTATTCTCTTTCTTCCAAAAGTCTTTAAAGTCAGAGCTGAATTCATGCCAGATACTGAAGAAAACATTTGGGGACACCTCCTTCTCTCCAATTTTTGGTTTCATGAAGAAATAGGCTGTAGTCTCCAAAAAGCTGTCAAAGTGTGTGCACACAAGAACATAAAAGCTATGATTACTTTCCAATATGGGATGTTCTCTCTCCATCCAAGTGCTGATTTCATTCATGCACAATTATTATTATCAAGAGGATTCTAAGCCTTCACGTATGAACAGTAGTTCTTTATGGGTTCATGTTAGAGTTTTGGATACAGAGAGCAGCAGCTGATAAGAATTCTCTATTTCCTGATAAATACCCCAATCCAATTCCATTTTCAATGAATAGGTATGTGTTTGATGCATTTTAGAAATGGGGCTGTAGTCAAATTGAGACATATTACAACTGGTGAACCTATATTTTTTTCTAAACTCTAAAAAGAAAACATATCACTCATTTGTCCCCAAACTAATATGTATTCCATTTTTATGTTATACTGTCTGTATACTATTTATCTTCCTAAATTGCTTAGAAAGGGAGGTTGCTGTGGGAAGCAAGAATCCTAAGAGACACTGACAAAGTCTGCCACCACAGATCATGGTACTATCATTGACCAGATACCAATATGGCAGTCAGCACTGTGACCAGAAGCTGACATCAGGGTCAGTCTTTGGAAGGTGTAATTCAGAGGTTGCAACATATTTGAGTTACATGGGGCTCAGGTGTTCTAACAGGGTTGTTTGACAAAGAACATACAACCAGTAAATGGTGGGTTTAAAATGTAACAAAGTCCCATGAATAATACCCTGAAAAGGTCCCTGCCAAAAGTTGACAATGCCAGTCCAGACAGCTGATTGGAGCGAGGCCAGAGATGCTGCATACAGAAATGCCATGCGAACAATCCTTGTCCTTTTCTTTTACTTTGGCCTAAGGCCCCAACTATTTCTGCTGCACAAAGCTCAATCTGATTTATTCTAAAGTAACAAATTCTCAGGCAATTTGATTTTGCTCAATGATTAAAAAATACATACACATAGTAATACACATCTCTGTATTTAGCTCGTCATAAAGTTGATTTCAAATCCCTACTATGAAAAGTTATACAAAAAAATTTAAAAACATGACCTTTAAGGTAAGTTTGCTCAAAAGGTAAAGGAGATTGAACACCACACATGAAATAAAATTTCAGAGCCACCCCAATATGGGTTACTGATGTGTGACTAATCTGCTCTATTTTTAAACTTGCCTTGTGGCTCTCTCTGAGCAACAAAATTCCTAGGAACACCAGTTTTGAGATCCTAAGAGATGACAATACTAATCTGATCATATTTGAGGGTCTCAGGAATTATATGTTTCTCCCTAGTTGGCCTACCAGAAAAAAAATGACATCGCATAGTCACTTATTCTGAAAGGCAGGTTGGGAAGTGAATAGAGCATTTGAGAATTTGGCTGCCACAAGCAATGGTGATGACATTAGAATGTGTCTGCAGACTATGCTGATACAGTTAAAACTGCCCAGAAAGCATAAATGGTCTAAGATATATCTTGGACATATTTTATTAAAACTGAAAAAGTATACACATGTATCCTCCTGGGAAAACTGGTCATTTTCCTTATATGCTAGAAAGGCATTTGTGACCAGCTAGGCTGAAATTAAGCATCAAATCCTTCAACTGCTTGTTTATTCTTTTTCATCATTTCTCTGATACTTGGACTTCATCAAATTGACTGTTACACGGCAAAACTTGTCTGTTTGAACAGATATATCAGAGCTGTAATAGCTGGTTCATCTGTTCAGCAGTCTTGCAACATTTTGAAAGTTTTACCACAAAGAATATTGTATAAAGGTAAAAATGTAGGATTTAGAAGGCAAAGATGTGGGATATTAAATCCTGACCTTATAACTAGCTACAGGAGTGAACCAATATCATTGTGTTTTAACTTCTTCACCAGTATAAAGCAGATATTATCAAATAATTGTTTTAAAGTTCAAAGGGAAACAATAATTTCCAAAGCATGAGTGAATGTTTTGACACAAAACAAATTTATTTATATTGCATATTATTTTAATTAAAAATGTATATTTTATAATACATGTTAAATAAATGTATCTTCTAATGATTTTTTAACTAATTCTACTGAAGCTGATTTACTAATTGATACTTATGTGATCATGTTCCTTGAAAATATTTCTTAGTTCTCGGTATGCACAGGAGCTTCTGATACTAACAACTGTTTTAATTATTAAATAATATTTTCTTGGATTTGTTATAACATTCATAACTTTAGGCAGGGAACTTAACTTCTGAGCCTCAGTTTCTTTATCCGTAGGTAGAAAAAAAGGTTGTCATTAATGAAAAGTACCTCGACAGTTATAAAACAAAATAGCAGTACATGTACTAACTCTATTGAGAGGCAAGAAACTGCCACTAAAATGCGGCCGGTGCAAAATTTTACAAATCTGTGAACAAATTAATATCTAACAGTGCTTTGGAGTCAGTGTGAAACTAATGGCATGAGTCTCAATAAAAAGAAACAAGTTCATAGCTACTTCTTTCAAAGTGATTAGGGTAAAGGAACAAGTGTCACTTGAGACTATGACATGGAGAGCACAGTACACAGGCACTAGGTATCCAATTTGCCCACCAGCCCCCAGAAAACACATAGGTAGGGGCAAACCACTGATGACATAAAACCCATGTGCTAGTATCACCAGATAGAAGGAAGCAGCGGGTAGCCACAGAGGGACTCTGTAAACACAGAAGAGCTCCCAACTCCCAAACAGGTATTCCAGAAAAGTGTCAGGGTCAACCTGAGAACTCCAAGTGAAGGAGTTTTACAAACTCTAATTCCTGGAATAGGAGAAAGGATCTATATAAGGTAATTCTGAAAGGGCTAGGGGCAATGTGGGATATCTAGAACTCATAGTACTAACCAAGAAAAACTCCCTTCTGTAGCAAAGCTCTATACTGAGGCAAAATGCCTAGGATAACTCGAATAGTGAATGATAAACTCAAGATAAAGGAAATAGAAAATGTTGGTAAACCGAAGTGGGAAAATCTTAGTATGAGGTTTTTTTTTTTTTAAACTCACTGCACAAATGTAATAAACGAGGAGATTCCAAAGCAGTGAATCTGGGAAGTATCTTTAGGCATCTCTTCCTTCTACAAATTCAGTAAAACTAATTTCATACAAAAATGAGCAAGAGAAAAATCACTGCAATGGAGAAAGGTATGCCATTTAGACACTGAGGATAACAGAGTCCACGTGTCCTACATCAAACAAAGTGAATGTCAAGGTGAACATTACCAGACCATCATTTCATCATGAAAAAACATCAGAACATCAGGAAGACATAGCAATCCTTAATCTATATGGACCTAATAAAAGCATTTCAAAATATACAAAGCAAACAAAACAAAAACAGAAAAATTAAAACAAGCACAATTAGATATTTCTAACAATGTTATATCAGTAGTTAACAGAACTAGACAAAAATATCACTAAAGATATAGAATATCTGAATATGACTATCAACAAAATGACCTAACTAGAAGTTGTAGAACATTATAGTCAATGGTAGGATTTACCAGAGCACAGAAAGCATCCATCAAATGGACCATATGCTGAGTCATAAAAGAAGTCTCAATCAGTTTCAAAGGACTGAAATTATCCAGAGTACGTTCTCTGCCCACAGTGGCAATAAATTATGAAACAAAAAAATAACATCTAGGGAATCTCCAATTTGAAAATTAAGTGAAACTATTATGAATAATACATGCATCAAAAAAATCAGAAAATATTTCAAACATAGTAAAAATTAAACAAAATATCAAAATGTGTGAGGTGCAGATAAAATAATGCTTAGAAGGAAACTTATGTTTTAAAATGCCTATGTTAGAAAATCAGTGATGGAGCTGTTCAATTCCAGAAGAGTAACTTAAAGTCAACTATGTAGAAAAAATGAAATGATAAGAAGAGCATAAAACAATGAAAAACTGAACGTTGCTGAAGATCAGAAGTTGATTTAATGAAAAATTTAATAAAATTTATAAATTACTAAGTCTGATAAAGAAAAAAAGAAAGAACATAGAAATTACTAACACCAGAGATGAAAACAGTCACTAAAGATTATATAGGCTTAAAATGATAATGTGATGATATTATAAGCAATTTAATGCCAATAGATTTAAGACTATAAATGAAATCCACAAATCCTTAATCAGTAAAACTTTCAAAACTGACATGAGGTAGAAAATATAAATAGTTCCATATCTAAGAAATTAAAATTATTTTTAATAATTATTTAAAATAAGTATGACATTTATTTTAAGAAGCTTGTAATCAAAGTTATCTCCATCCTCCAAATACTTCTTCAAATTGTTTCACAGTAAATTAATGATCATTTGATATGGAAATAAGGTCAAATTTATGCTAACACTTTCAGAAAACTAAGGAGGAGTGTACATTCCTCAACTTATTTTATGAGGCCAGCATTATCCTGATCTTGACACTAAAAACTGTAAAAGATACTGTGCTCAATGAACATAATCAAAACAGTCTTCAATAAAACATTAACAAATCAAATATAGTACTGGATATTTTAACCCTATAATTTAAGAAGAATCTTTGCTCTTCTCAATTCTATTCAACACTGTACTGAAATCTCTAGCCAATTAATAGGCAAAAAACAACAACAAAAACGACAGACTGGAAAGAAAGAAAATTATTGCTATACATATACATACATAACATGTTTGTATACAAAGCAAATTATATAAAAATTATAAACAAAAAATCCCTATTAGAACTAATAAGTGAATTTATAAGAACTAAATAATTTAATATATACCCTGTAAACTTCAAGGTAGATATGAAAAAATCAAATGCATTTCTATGGAAATGCAACCACAGGAGAAACTGTAATTTTACATTACCATCACAAAACATAAATTAACTAACAATAAATCAAACAGAAATGTGTAAAAACTACAACATATCATTGAGAGAAGTTAAAGAAAGCCTAAATTGTAAATGAAAACTATAATATATTCCTATATTAGAAGATTCATCATTGTTAAGATCCGTTTGCCTGAAAT